TAGAGAAATAGATACCATAAAAAATTAATTCGTTTTCGTGTTCTTTTCATGTATTTAAAGCAACTTTTGTATGCTTTTACAATTTCTGAGGCCTTTTTTTAAGAAAAAAAAACAAGTCTCCACCTGATAGTTATATTATAGGTTAGGTTACCATAGCAAAGTTACATCTTCAAACATCCTCAAGAGCTATAACACATCTGCAGCAGAACTGGATATGAAGACAAAATTGCAGGACAGAAACACTTTAATTGTCCACTAATCTTCAGATTTCCTGCTATGTTTTAAAAAACTTTATTTGTGGAAACCTTTAGCGTGGCGGACAGCTGGCCGCCTTAGGCGGCTAGTTAATAATAATAATGGATAACTCATACAAATGAGTGATCAATATTTTAAAAAAAAAGCCATTCAATAATGATGTCATATTGAATAGATTTTAGCATTCTTCGGTAAGCTATTCAATATTGTTAAAATCTTGAATGAGCATTCTTTAATAAGCTAATTGATACTGCTAAAATACTAAATAGTTCTAAGCGATCTTCAGTTAACCATTCAATATTGCTAAAATCTTGAATCGTTCTTAGCATTCCTCAGTAAACTATTCAACGTATTCAAACTCTTGAATATAGACTTGAATATTATTTGATAATTTCGTGATTAAAAAAATTAAAACTCTTTTTTAGGAAGAAAGAAGAATTTAGAAAAGAAGAAGAATTTGGGAAAGAGGAAGAATATAGGAAAGAAGGAGAGGTCCGGAAAGAAGAAGAAAGTGATATCTGAATTCAAGCGAAAACCAATTGAAGAAGTAGGATTCGATGCATCCTGTGTGGAAAATGCTTATGGAAGATTATTACCTAAAATTGCACCTTCTATTCCACATGCCTTTGTTTATGCATATGAAACAAAGAAAAATAAAAACTATCCTTTCAATACTTACATGGAAGTGAAATACAGATGTCTAGCTGGTTATCGGTTTGCTCGAACACAAACTTTATTTTGCAGGAATAACTCATGGATTGGACAAAAACCGAGATGCATCACGAGTTAAGAAATATGCAAATACTTTTTTTACTAACATGAAAGTAAATTTTATAGACAAATAAACTTGGTGGCTTTGATGAAGTATATTTTTCAAGCAGGTTGTATTGTTGTAACTAGCATAACTATTGTTTCAATATTGTTACAAGATTTGTCTTCCTTTGTTATACTTTATTTTAAAATATTCATAACTAAAAATGTGAAAAACGATTAGTTTTTTCAAATTTCATTGTGAAAATAACTTTTGAATATGGTAAGAAACTTTGCATTTCAAATTTAATTGTCAGTGTATTATTTACTTGATTGCTGCTTAAATAACGCTTTGTAAAAACTATCAAAACCTCTGTGTTGTTCACGTTCTATTTTTTCTAATAAATAGAAAAACTGGTCCATATCCACCAACTTAACTTTCAAACTATTCTAGATATTGTTTTAAATGACACCTTCTATTCCGCATTATGTTATGTATTCCGTATGTGTACGAAAATAAAAACTATCCCTTCAATACTTGCATGCAAATGAAATACACATGTTTAGCAGGTTATCGGTTTGCACGAGCTTTATTTTGTCTCATAGATTGGACAAAAACACCTCGAGTTAAGAAATATTTTATGCCTATTTTATACTAACTAGAAAATAAGTTTATCCACAAATAAAGACTTTGTTGAAGTATATTTTTAATGCCGAAAGTAGTACAACTATTGTTATATGATTGTTACATAAGTCTTTGTATGTCTTACTTTGTTTAAAAATATCCATGCTTTAAAATGTGAAAAAAAGAACAATTTTTTTAAAATTTATAGTGAAAATAAAAATTTTGAATATAGTAAGAAGTAATGAAATTCAAATTTTATGATTAGTGTATTTACTTAATATCCGTTTTAATATAAACGCTTTGTTAAAACAAACAAAATCTAAGTGTTGAATACGTTTTATTTTTTTAAATAGAAAAACTCGCAAAATCCGTATTCACCCAGTTAAATGTATAACTTTTCCAAGTATAGCAATTATTATAGAAAATGGTATCTTGCACAGTAAAGTAAGAAGAAGATAAGACCTCTTACAGTGCCACCTGGAGAAGAAGTGAGGAGTTAGAAGCGTTATCTCGAAAGAGAGACAAGATAGAGGAAATGCAAAATTTTGTTTGTATGTAATTTCATATTCTGTGACGTGGTGAAACGATTTCAAGTGAAAAAATAACTAGTTATAGACTATAAACTAAAAATGTATAGACTATAAATATAGACTATAAATGTATAACTAGTTATAAATAAATGTATAACTAGTTATACATTTATTTTCATAGCTCCAAATTTCCTAAAGCTTTGGAAGCTTTATATGTCAAAATTAAAAATGTCTTGTGATAACTGATTTTTTTTTCGTAAGATTAAGTCACGCCACTGTGTAGACAGTCACAAACAAACAAATTTGGATTTTAAGCTCTTTATTAAATTTAGATTTTAAGAGCTAAGCATTCATGTTCTCAAGGTATCTGTTTGTACTAGATCGGTGATGCTCAATATATTTTTAATTCAATTTCCCCCGAAAAATCTTGCACCAATTTCGAGATAAAAACACTAACTTTGTGAATGTTCTACCATATAGCACTGTAACGGTTTCACATTGTTGGGCATAACCAGTTTATACTAAGACATCACCTTTAAAAATATTTCCGCATCCATTCGAAAGTTACGATGGTGATTTCGATTACGATATTTTTAAAAACCTAAAAGACAAATAATTGGTTCCACACATTAAGGCTATAAAAATTGAATGGCATTTATGAAAATTAAATACAGAGTGCCATAAAAGTTGAGGCACAAATAAAATATTTTTATAAATTCTGAAATAATACATATTTGTTTCCACTAATTTTACTGAATGTGTAATAATTAGTAGAAAAAGATAACCATAGAAAGCGAAAATAATACCTAAGATCATAAGAATAACAGATAAGCCCTCTCGACTATAATATGTACCCATCTGTTGGGAACTAAGTAGCTTCATTAGGTGGAATAAAATTCCGGTTGTTTAACCGTATTGGGTGAAAGGACGGTTTTTATCACACTTAACAGTTTGAATACCATCTTATTTATGGTAATTTAACTGTTTTGTTTGAATATGGTAAAATTACAATTAAGTAAATAGTGATTAAATCATTCTTTTCCGAGAAATTTCTAACATTGTAGTTTAGCGATTATTTAATCGGATTGCTTAACTAATTGCTTTAAATCTTTAATTCAGAAAGTTTAAAATTAAAACCTTATTTTAGAGAACTAATAGCTTTATAGTAATATCAATTACTGCTTTGAATATAAATGTATTTAGCCTATGATATGTATGTTCTATTTATGTGCACTCTACTAAGCTAAATTTCATTAAACATTCTATGATAACTCTTTTTTTAATTTTATTCGCTTAAAAGAGTAACGGAAAAAAATAAGACCCTTTTTTCCACTTTCCCGGATATGGTTAACTCGTTTGTGCCACACTTTTTTTCAATTTTTTTTTTTAAAAGCGACTTATTATTGTTGCGGGAAAAGAAAACTGTGGTAAATATTGACATGATATATTGTTATTAGAATTTTTTTCGCAGAAACAAGATAGTTCTGTTTGTTATTATATGTTAAGTCTTCATTCATATTAAAATATGGGTGTCATATTTTCCAAAAATATCCATATCAAGCTGTAAGTATTTTGAAAAATTTAAATAATAATAATATCTTGTCTGATACACACACATTCCAGACTATATATAGCACTAACAACATGATGACTACTTCTCGAATTCTTTATATTTTTTTTGCCTTTGTTCATTCATTTAAAACTGGTATTAAACCATTAAAAAACTTTTTTCCAATGCCTACCCTATTGACACTCGTAGGGCTGATTTGTTGACCACTCTTCCAGGGGCAACCATATTAGGTGAACCCATAGTAAGAACAGAGAGTGATAGAACATCCATGCTTTGCCCGGGATTCTTGCCCTGGATCTTGCTGATTTGAAGTCAGCTCTCTGACCATTACACAAGTACGGTCGGCTTTTGTAAAAATATTGACATGATATTTTTCAAAAACTTTCATATCTATTGGGAACTATTTATAATTCCAGACTTTCTAGCACTAATACAGGGATTGCAAACTTTTTATTTATTTATTTATTTTGTCTTTTTTTTCCGCCACGTGATATATTTAAAACTGATATCGCATTAAAATATGATAATAATTTTTTTCAAAAATTCTCACGTCTGGAAGAATTTATGAATTATTTTTAACATAATATTTAGGTAAAAACGTGCAAATTCCATATTTTATTTAGCATTAACTTAAGAGCTGACTCCGCGATTTTTTATATTTTTTTGCACCATATAATTAATTAAGAACTGGTCTCATATTAAATTATAAAAGTCCTATTTTCGAAAATTACACTGTACGCATGTAAAAGATTAAAATAATGCTATTTAAATAAAAACACGCTAGTTTCAAAGCATACATAACATAAACTTAAAGATGGACGCTTTGTGAAGCATTTATAATGAAAATTTTAATTAATATTATTTAGAACAAAACGTGAAAATTCTAGAGCGTATTTATTACTAGCATAAGGGTTGACATCTCATTTTTTTATATTATTTTTTGGCCTGCCACCTGATTTATTTAAAACTGTCTTCATATTAAAAAATGAGAGTCATATTTTTCGATAATTCCCATATCAGTCTGCAAGTATTTATAGAAAATTTTAAACACACGAACACTTGAACTCCAGATTTTGTGCTGCACTCACTTTTACGGCTCGACGTGATTTGGTTGAAACTAGTTTCAAGTAAAAAAACTGAAGTCATATTTTCTAAAAACTCTCTTATACATAATAAATAAGGAAACATAAATTTTTGAAACATATTATTTAGTTCTGAACACTCCTATTTCAGAAATATAAAGCACTAATATAAAGGAGGACAGCGAATTTTTTATATTTTTTTTAATTACGTGAGTCATTTGGAACGGATTTCATATTAAAATATGGGCACCATATTTTTAAAACGAAACTCCTGCGTGTCTAAGGGAATGGAGTGTTATTTGAAAATTTTCGCATGCATTAATTAAAAAGCAATATTTGAAAAATCTGCAAAGTGTCCACTTTTATGTTGGTGATATGCATTCACTGAACTTAGCATGTTTTGGATTCAAAAAGTTTTTTTTAAAATTTTCTATAAATATTTCTTGATAATTATAGCGATTTGCAAACTAATTGACGCAGCAAATTTCAAAGTAATTCTGCATTAAAATTATTTGTAAAAAAATCACAAATTATCCACCCTATATTAGAGAAATTTATATAATAACACTGACGTGCATAACAGCATTGACGTCTGGAAATTTTAAGTATTTTAAGTTACTACAAATTTTCTAAATAAATCTTTAAAATGACTCTCTCTACATAAAATTTCAGCCACATACTCTTTAATTCGAACTTTTTTTTATCGCAAGCTTCAAGTAAAATTACAGCTCTACTTTAAAGCGTATGTCCTTTCATTTAATAATGCGACATCTTAAACATATTGACGTATTGATAGTTTCAGTTTATCCGTGCAAATTTAAGAAATGAATCTCCGAAATGCCTCAAAAAACGTAATATTTTAGTCACATTTTAACTGTATTCAAATATTTTTTACCGCGTGGTTCATTTAACAACAGCTAACTCAAGTAACAGCTAACTCAAGTAACAGCTCACCTCCAAAGCGTATATTTGTTTATTAAATGACGACTAAGTATAAAAACATTGGCGTCAATAAAGTTTCAGTTCCGAGATGAAAATTCGTGCTAAAATCACAATTGTGTGGTAAAATCACAAGACATGAATTGCTTAATAACTAAAAATGCTCGCATAATATTGGAATAATTAATCATGAATTTATATTCAGAAATATTTTTTATTCTTGCATTTTATTTAATCTTTTTTCTTATTCTCAAGATTTATCTCTGAGACGAATTGATTAAAAGAACTGCAAATCTTTTTCGTAAGAACTGTTTTGGTCACGCTTTCCTAGTTAAGAAAAGTTTTTAATGATTATTAACATTGTGAATAAACTTAAGTTTGAAGAATTATATATTTTTCTTTTTTTTATTTTACGACTATTTTTTGATTTTTAAAAATACTATGTTTTTGGAAAGCAATTAGACTCTCTAAATCTAACAGATGGTTTACTTCCCGTAAGAGTATTTTGAGATAATACACAGCTGTGGAAGAATGGTGATAATTTTAAGATGACGCTAATATTATTAAGAATTCGTCCTCTATATAAGTTTTGACAATCAGTTCTAATTTCTTGAAGAGTGCAGAAATAAATCAACATGTGGGCAGCTCAAATACTTCTTGTGTGCTTATCAGCCACCGTAGCTTTGGCTGCTATTGGATCATGTCCTACTCCTAAAGTTCAAGCAGACTTTGATTTAGAGAAGGTAAATTTGAGAATTGTTTTTATTTTTTAAGTTTTTGACAGGTGATTTTGCAGGTTTTAAATCTTAATAATTGATTTTTTGGCAAAGTATTTCAAATTAACAGAGCCCTCGTTGCATCTTAAACGCAACATATTTTGGCTCTTAAAATCATGCTTATTTTTCACCTATTGTATTAAAATTGATTATTTGATTTTTTTAATAATATTTCTTTAATTTTGCTTTGAAATTTTGGAATATGGTTTATTTTTTATCAATGATATATCATGATCAAGGACTTTTTTCTATTTTTATTTAAGTTTTAAGATACTTGCTTAAATAATCATGTAAAAATATTTGATATACATTTTTTTTTTCAAATTTCATTATTTTGATAGCTATGAATAGTAAAGATTACTTCTTTTAAGAACCATAGGTCATAGAATTTTTCTTCCATCTATAAAAGGGAAATAAATAAAAAAACTTATGTTTAAAAATGTTTTTTTCTTCTTCTATTTATCAAAAAGAAAAAAAAAACTTGGCACACAATTTAGAACATAAGTTATTATTCAATTCTTTTCCACATTATGTAGAAAAGGATTTAGCTACTTAATTAAACCGTAAGATTTTTAAATCTAAAAATTTAAAAATCATGGAATTGCATTGTTTTGGTGGTTTTGAATAGTATTCTGAAATTTCTAAATAGATGTATATTAATTTTAGCAGATTATAGTTATAACTTTTTGTGCTATCATGTGCTCTAGGCAATATCACTTCAGCACATTTAAAAAAAACTAAAAAAAAAAAAAAAAAAAAAAAAAAAAAAAAAAAAAAAAAAAAAAAAAATTGAACTAAATTTATAAGAAAGTTTATAAGAAATAAAGGGAAAAGAACGGTTTATGTTCACAAAAATGACGATTGGATCACCATCCTGTGCGTTTTGAGGATTATAAAGTTTTAACAAATCAATAAAGTGGAAAATCGATTCTCCCCGCGAGTTATTACATAGTGAAATAGGCCATGTTGGGGGGAAAACCATTTTTTGTCCTCGCGTAGACAACAAATAAAAGTATAGTGAAGAAAACGGCGTGAAGTATTGATTGGAGAGGAATTTTCAGGAAAAAAATGGTTCTCATCTAAACCGATTTTCAAGTTTTAATTTTTTTTAAATTTTTAAACTTTGATTGAAACTTTTTGGGGAATGTAAATAAATACTTGTGACATTCGTGTATATTTTTATTTTTACGATTAGAATTGAATACTTGCTCCTGAAAATTCACAAACCTTGAAATTTGTTTTTCTCAGAATCAGTTTTCACTAACATAAACCGTTATCTTCCCTTGGTCTTCATATTTGAAATTTAAAGATGTCATTATTTCATTGTTTATTTCAAACTGTGTCTATTTATTGCGTGAAAAATTTAAAAAAAGTAAATTTATTTTACATTGCGAATTATGTACAGAAAATATTTGTCTTTAAAAAAAACGAAAACTCTTAACAGGTTTAGTTTAAACAAATTTTTGAATTAAAGCCTGAAATCCCGAAAGTAAAAATATATGGCCAAATACATGAATCTGCGGAAAGAATTTTTTTTATCTTTTATCTTAACCGTATTCCATGTAGTTATAATTTTTTTTCGAAAATTACCACACTAATTTAGAACACAGCTGTACTGTGCAATTTTTAAAACTGAGCGAATATTAAAATTTAGTGAGCATTCAGCTGAGGGCTCATTGAATGCGATTTGCTTGGATGCATAATATTATAATATTTTAGCTCCATTCTCATTTATTGTACAACATTTATTGGCAACAATCATTTCATAGATAAATTTTATTGAGTATCCCCTTGTTACGTGATGGTATTAAATTCATTGGAATGCTTAAAAACTGGTATGTTTAATAACCGTTTTTGAGCATGTAATAATACCCTTGAAAATTTAGTTTAAAGAAATTATTATTAAAGATATATGTTAAACGGTAATCCGTCTAATTTTGAAGAAGGAATGTAATGTAATGTTAGACCCCTCAAAAACAAAATCTCTCAGAAGATGAAATCTTTTTTATTTTAGTGGTTTTAGTTATCTTTGTTTTTTGTGTTTAAAAAGTCGATAATACGAATCTCCAAAGGCAAAAAGAGTATGTACTCGATATGAGGAAAGATTTGATGAAAAAAAATCTTTCATCGTAAAATCTTTCAGATGTTTTTAATGCTTGGATGAAAGGAGTTAGAGTACCGACTTCTGTTTGACTTTTTAAGATTCATTAATTTTCTCTTTATGTATAATAGTATCTGGACGCTTCATTAATTATTGTAATTTTTTTCTTTTGGCGACCGTGTGCTCAGACTTTATAGACAATTTAAAACTTATTAATGTGAGTTTTATTCTTTGATTTGATAAAAAAATTCTTATTATGAAATAATCATAGTGATATATCAAACTAAAAAAGAGAATACTTTTCTTAAAATGTTGTTTCAACGCTTGAAAAGTTAATAAATCCTATGTTTTCAATTTTTCTTGACTTCTGGATTATATTTAGCAAGAAATTATGAACAAAAGCTGCAAATAAAAAAATAATAATTAAAACGCACGTGGCATTGGATAATTCTCAAACCCAGTTTTCAAATTAAAACTTAAAACAAACTTTTGAAAAATGAAAAATAAGTAATTTCCTTTCAATGATCCCAGGAATGTATGATTGAGGATCAGAGCATAAAAGCTGAAAGTAAATAATGCAGCAATGATAAATATACTGATTTTTGAATGAATGACACGCAATTTTTTTTAATTCAAAATTCCTTGAAATTCACTAGACAAATATTTATAACAAAATAATAAGCAATAACACAAAAAATCTGCTCTCTTTTCTATAGAGAGTAAATTGAATTATACAATTTAAATTTGAGGTAAATTAATAAGATTTTTTTGAGTTACAAGTTCACCAACTTGAAGAATATAACTTGGAAAAAAAACACTTTTAATGTTTTCGAGATCCATGCAGTAGACAGTAAGGTGTTGCAAAAAATTCTAAATTCGGCTGCTTATTTACATTTGATTATATCATTTTATTTTTTAAAAGTCTTTCTTAAGCAAAACTGGAAAGAAAGAGTTTCATTCCAAAATCTTAAAGTGGTCTTTAACTACTTTGAAATTTAGTTTGCAGGTACATGGTACTTATTGGAAGCTTCTGCTTCTGTTGACAGAGTGGGCAAAAGATGTAACACTTATATTGTTGAAAAGAAAGAACGAAATCACGCTTCTCTCCTCCACAAATATATGTCATCTGTCACGTAAGTCATTTACAACAATATTTTGTTTAATAATTTGTTTTGTTTAACGCATGTCGCAGTGATGGATCGTATCAGCTATTTCGTATATCAGCTATCAGGGCTAGTTCATTCCGCTCCTAGCTACAATTTCTCTCCTCATGACGTCACTATATACACAGATCTCGCTAGCAAAGATATTATAACTTTCTCTCTGTAAAAATAAGTTAGACTTTTTCTGGTTCTTAGATTTCAAACTTTACATAATTAACACATTATTTCCGTTCATAAACATTGTTCAAAAAAAAAACTTTCTTTGCCATTATATTTAAAAAAAAATACTATTTTTAACTTATAAAAATATTTTACTAGTTGGCGAAAATGACACTATAAATTTAAAAAGTTCTGACACTATAAATTAAAAAGTTTTTAAAAATTTCAGTTTTAACTTTAATTATTAAGAAAAGCATATATCGACACTTTTTATCCTGCATAATCTCTGATAACTATAAGTTGGGTTAAATTTAGGATCCTGATTTTAAAATATGCCGTTAATAGCAATTTGCTCATATTTAATCATTAGGAAACATCAACCTTAAACGCTAATTACTGAAACAAAATAATAATTTAGTTTCATAATGATATTTGAAATTTTACTATTGTTTATAGATATTTAAATTTAAGATAATATAATTTATAGATATTTAGTTTTAATTTATTTAATTTAATTTAAAAAAATCATAAATATTTGGAATTTCTACATTTAAAAATATGTTATGAAATTAGGAGAATTTTAACTATATACTATATATTTTATTTATACTTTTTATTTACGCTTTAATTTTCTTTGACTTTATCCATTTTTAATTTTTTCGGCTGCCTTTCTTTTTGAATTAACGAGGCGGTTTCTTTTAGATGGTGAATTTTTGTAAAAGTTCATAGCGATAGAATAAACGTATTGCTGTTTTATATTAACTGTGTCATTTCGTTTGCAATTCATTGAATCCATTTTTACATAGTTGTTCATTTACTATTGGGAGCACGTGGAAAATTATATTTTTCCTTTTGTGTTTCTATCAGAATTTTTGCAAGTTGCAATCGCTCAAACTGGCATTTCATTAATAGTTTTAAATTTTTGCAAATTCACTGCAATAAACTGGGGAAAATCATTTTATAAAACAACAAATGTCTTGGAATATGTCACAAAAAGGAATGCTCCAATATTAGTTAGAGCAAGTTAGACCGAACGCTCCGTTCTTGAAGTAAAAGTGCGAGTTTCGCGCCACAGTGACGTCACTGGAGAAAATCGGAGGTTTGGCGCGGCGAGAGCTTCTTCAAAGGTGTGAACCAGCCCTTCTATTCTCTTTAGCTATTGCCATTAATGAATGAACACCATCTTTAACCTTTTGCTGACGTATGTCTCCTCTCAATCACTGCAGAAAAAGAACATCAGTGATCTTATAGTATTGAACAAAACTGTTTACTTAAAGACTGTTAGAGTTCTCTCACACACGCATGAAATAATGCTTATTTACGAATTATATGCTATTTTCAAAACTGCAGAGAGTTTGCAACATTTATTCACAACCTATCACGTTTGGGTTTTAAAATCACATTCAGGCCTTTTAATAAAATTAAGTTTAAGCCACGTAACTATCCTATCAACACTAAAAATCGCTAGAGCATTTATCACATGCCTTACCAGGGCGACCTCGGCTACGTCGAACAAATCAGACGAGCTCTAAAATTTAGACATAAGGATCATGATAGATATGATCGTTATAAAAAATGCAATGAAACATCAGTTTCAGCACATTGTTGGAATCTTGGATATGAATTCAATTTCGAGAGTTATTTCCCCCGTATCTCATCAGCTCATCTTGACATCCTGGAATCTCCTTTCATTCATATGAATGCCGATTCTCGTGTTAACGACACGAGTTCTTCACCACCTCCCCATAGCATGTAGAAATGTATTTTTCCCTCCTTTACCTCTCTCAGCCACATCGGTTTTTCTAGTTTCTTTATCTTTATTTATTTTTCATTTTTTTCCAACAAGTTATGACTTTTCTTCGATGTATGAACAACAGAGAAATCTTAAGCAACTGCTTTTTTTATGTAAAGAAAAAAACCAGAATTTGTTAAGAAATTAAAATTACACCTCAACTTTGCTTCTTATGCCAATTAGCAAAATCTGTAATCCCTGACACCGATTTAAACTTTTCGCGTCTAACGATGCAACGTTCATCGTTGCATCGTTTTTTTCTTTTCAAATTTGAAACTGTGCATTCTTTAAATACTTTCACTTCATAAATGATATCATACATGAAATATAAAGTTTTAATATTCAATTTAAACTGTGTGCGTGAGTATTCTGCCAAGAACACTCACATTGTAAAAGATTTGAAAGGAAAACAAAAGACGAAACAATTTTCATAATATTTTGTTTCAAAACTTTATCCAAATACTAAAGTTTAAATTCTCTAACAGTTCTTTTAATTTAATTTTTCTCCATCCAATTGAGTTTTAGTATATGTTTAAATCTCTCTTTTATCTATTATTACAGAGAAAAATGGAAGTCCGAATACTCTGATATTTCCACTCCAAAGAGCAAAGAACCAGCAAAACTTTCGGTAACTCCTCTCAAGGGAACAAGTAAATATATTTCATTTCTTTTTCTTTATTGACTTGACAGCTCTTTGTGGGCCAAGGTCTTCCTTAAAATCGCTTTTTATTCTACTCGTATCCTCACCAGACTGTTTCAGTTGTTCAGTTCAGTTTGAAATCCATATTCAATGCATTCAACCTACCTTCAAGTCTGGGCAGACCTCTGCTTCGGGTTTTCGAGCAAGTAAATAATTTCACACTATCATTATCCTTGCTTAAACAAGTCTAAAATTGAAGATTTTTTACTTGACATAAAAAAAGTCAAAAAATAATCCGTAAACTAAGATATATGTGATAAAGTATTTTATAATTACAGTGGTAGAAAGAAGGAAATGAACGCGCAAATTAAAAAGAAATTTAACTTCGATTCAATGATGCAATTATTTTGTTGTAGTTTTTTAAATTAATATTGATAAAATAAGTTTCCTGAGCTTGTAATTTGTAGTAGGACCATTACTCAAGGAAGACCAATCAAGGTTACAAAGAAACTAATTATTTTAATTTTGTTACAGTTCTAGCCAGAAAATGGGACTTATGGGTCATTGATACTGACTATGATTCATATGCTATCTTGTATTCCTGCAAGAAACTCGTACTTGCCTACACAGGTAATATATTTACTTTATTTGTACGGTAATTTAAGCATTACATCTAGAATAGTTAAAATAAAGTATTTAATTGGATGTATTTATCATGATATTTTAAAGACATATTTGAGCTTATAATTGTGTTTCATTCCTCATATACACAATCGAGGTATTCGGCACATGTTTTATACAGGGTGACAATTATTGAACTATGGGAAATAAAACGTAAATTATTTTTAAAAAAATAACTGAGTGCACAAACTTTATTCAACATGTAAACGTCACTACAGATATTTTATTTTACAACCGTCGTTGAATAGTCGATCTAATTTTCAGGTTACGACTATCAATGTCTGTATCCTTGTAATTTTAACTCAATCTAGAAGACAAGGGAACGCCTGGATCAAATATTGGGAGAAATTTTTCTTCGTGGTGGAATTTTTGATGGAACTAACCAACATTTGCGTTATATGGAGAGAAAAACCACGATAACCTCCCAAGGTTAGCCTGACGACAAAGGGACTCTAATCCATGAACTGTCTACCACTGAGGTTATTTTACGTCAGCACTGTGGTCGGTGAGACCTGGGTACGGAATTCGAATCAACCAGCCATAGTCAGGAATCGAGTCCCATTCACCTCATTAGGAGGCAAACGCACTATCCTTTAAGCCACCACCACGGCTTTCACTACAGATATTCGGATTTATGTTATGACATGTTCAAAATGCCTACCATCATTGTCTAGGATGCGGCCTCAGACGAAAAGCAAAATTTTGCATGACCCGTTAAAGTGTCGGAACATCGATGCTGCCGATGTTCTCCTGAATGGCAATTTTCAGCTCAGCAATATTATTAGGGATATTTCTGTACACATTGTCTTTAATATAGTCCCACAAGAATGAGTCACATGCGTTCAAATCCGAAAAACATGGCGGCCAAGTGAGTCCCATTCTGCATTCCGCCAATGGGTATCCCAGAGTCAGAATGCGGCCCCCAAAGTGCTCCTCCAGAACATCAAACACTCGCTTGGTTCGATGGAGTCGAGCTCCGTCCAGTGTGAATCACATTTTGTCGAAATAAGGGTCACTTTGGATAATGGGGATTAAATCATTTGCCGAAACACTATACAAACAAGCTGTTCCGAGACATTTTCTCTTGAAAATGGCCGATAACAACAAGCGGCGTGAGCATGCGCATATTAATTCCCATCATGCCCTGCGACTAACGACGATGTTAGAACTTCGTCTCCCAAACCGTTCTAAAATTATGACTGCTTTATTTCATATAGTTCGATAATTGTCACACTGTATTTTGGCATGCATTGAATGTTAGTATTTCTTTTATTGATTACGAATCACTGGATTTCATTTCCTGATAAAGAATCGAAAGAATATGATTATATTCCCACTGACAATGTGATGTCCTGATCACGAAATTTTTCCATTTTGTTTCCATGGAGTGTTGAGGGTTATAAGAAAATAATTTGACATGATTTAAAGTGATGAACGGCAGCCCAGAGAGTAAGGAAATTTTAAGAGAAAGGAATTCTGAATGGAGATAAAGAAAAAATCTTTATAATAAAAATGAATATCTGGAGGGAGATAATTGAAGCTATGAAGATTGAAATACGGTAAAACTTCGATTATCCGAATATCTTTCATCCGATTACTTCTGTTAACTAAACTCTATTACGAAATGTTTTTTTATAGCACCAGTTTTTTTCTTTTTCTTAATTTTGTTAATATGGTGTCATAATTCAGCAATATATAAGACTTACAAATTTTAAAAAAATAAATAAATAAAACACGTTGTACTGCAGTACACATAGAATTGCTCATTTTATGGAGTAAAAAATGAACTGTTTGCTGACGGATAATAAAATGAACGTATTTGAAAATAGCAAATGAATTTGGTTGCTTTGGTTTTGCAAAGAAATTTTATTTTTGTTGCTTCATACTCGTCTTTTCATTATTATTAGCATAGTATAGTTAACTTTCCACTTTCACTAAAAGAAAGCTGAATATGCTTTCAGGACAATAAAAATATAATATAGTAAAGCAAAGGAATTCGAGAGGAAGTCATGCCAAACTTACAAACGAGTGTAAGTCAATGAAATGAACTTTCAGAATTTATGATATCAGCTAACGATTCAGAAATAGATGCCGCTTTGTAAAAATGTTTTATTCAAAAAAGAAAGAAAAAAAAGCAAAGGAATATCGCTTTTTTGGGGGGGGGGGCAAGAATGGTGGTGAATTTGAAATATAAAATGTTTTTATACCTATTTTACAAAAATATATTTATTAATTTGTCTCATTAAAATGAAATATTAGCACAGCTATTGCACTCTAGTGTTAAATGAAAATTCGCTTTTCAGAGTTAATTGAAAAAATTACAATAAAAAGCGATGTTACTCGATAGTCTAAATATTTAGTTTATCTGAAGTATGTCCGGTCCTAATTATTTCGAATAATAAAGATCATAATGGATTTATTTATGAGAAAAATATACTGTTTTATGTAAATAATTATATTTTGAAAACTCTTTTTCAGAGGAAATCTTCATCTTATCTAAAACAAGAACTCTTGAAGACTCTAAAAAGACTCAACTTTACGACATTTTAAGAAAACGAGACTTAAACCAAAAGAATTTGGTAACAATCAACCAAAATGAGAAAGATTGCAAGGAATAAAACTAGCTATTATACAATATTGATGTTCAATTAAAAAGAAATCAATAAAAATGAATATAAAATTTTATTACATGTATTGTATTTGTTTAAAGAATGGAAAACTGCATACCGTATTACAGTGTGGCAAAGCGCAATAATTAAAGGAGAGGCATTTAAAAGCCCGATAGACAGAAAACTGCTAAACCAAATTTTCAATATTTTCTTCTTAGAAGTAGAGCTTTAAAAGAAAAAAGTAGTCAGGTTTTTCAACACTACACTGTAAAAAATTTCAGAAACTAATTTTGACTCGACAAAAATGTTTTCGAAAATCTCAGAGAACTTCATTTAATATCATATTTCCGATCAATTGAGAAGCATTTATTTTCAAAAGTACGAAATTGAATCGCTTTGGCGCCGATTGAGCTTCAGAGGTTTCAAAAATGTTTTTGAAAATTATATGCACCGTAGCTGCCTCATATATTCAGAAACGTTTAGGGATTGCTTTTGCCAAAATGATGACGTGAGGCCATTTTTGAGGTAAAATATATATATATATATATATATTTAATAACAGGGCTACATTTCTGTTATCATTGGTGTATTCATATTAAGAAATGCAGTTGAAAGCCATGATACGTTATAAAAAGCTTTATTTAAAGATAGCTGGTGGTTACAACAGTTCACATCTCCACTCCACACAGGAGGGGGTGTGGACAAATCTCCAGATGGTTATTGGAACATGTTATTCAGCAAGAGACATGCGAAAACGTTCGCTCTCACATTAAATACTACAGATATTGGTGTACTTAGGTCCCAGTCGCACATGCCTTTGTAACTCTACTCACTATGGAAAATCATTTAATGCTTCCTAATATGGAAGTGAAAGAGGGACAAGATTCTAAAAATAACTCCTCCTTTCAAATATAAATCTAATTATTATTCAATGGTATGTTTTCAGCCTTGAATTCCCAAAATAGAATATCTCTACGCTTACTCTTTAACAAAGACATTTTATGAAACCGAAAGAGTTTTAATTCTTTTATTAATACAAAAGTATCTATTATCTTTGTATTACACACACACATATATATATATATAGCACAATAAATGAATACAAAAAGGATAAAAAAGAAAAGGCAGAAAAAAGAAGATTAATAAGTTTTATTTACTGCGCATAAGCTGTAAATATATAGAATTCATGAAATAAGTTCAAAATGTAGAGAAAATATGGAAAAAATTACAAAAAAATTGAAAAGAGAAGATGAAAATTATTAAAATAAAATAACATAATTTTAAAAAAAATTAAAATTGAAATTTTTTATAATTTTATAAAAAATTTTATATTTTTATTTTCAATTAAATGGCAGGCGGAAAAAAGGTATAATCTCTTCATAAGTATAATCATAAGTAATCTTTTCAAAGGTATAATCTCTTCACACAATTATATCCGCAAGCACTCCTTTTTGTGTAGATAACTTTGTGAGCTAAAGAAGAGATTAAATCTCCCCCGCCGGATTTTTATTGAAAAAAAAATTTTCAATTTTTTTTAAATTATGTTACTTTACTTTATTGTAATAATTTTCTTCTTCTCTTTTCATTTTTCTGTAATTTTTTCCATGTTTTCTCGACAGTTTGATATATATAAAGAAATCTTTTGGTTGGAATAGCTTAGAAACTAAAGTTCTGAGTGATTAAGACCGCAAGTCTATGTCCCGAAGTTAGTGAAAAGAAGCTAGAAATTAAAATTCAGTATAACAGTTGAAGGGGAAAAGTTTAAATAACCTCATTTCTATGTGAAAATCTACGTACAACTCTTTACTTACTGTTGAAGAAAATATGATTCATAAAATGTCTTATTAAATATAAATGTAAAATGAAATTTCAAATGTAAAAATATAGGCAAAATGTACTTTCGATGCCGTTTTTACCAAAAAATGTTTCTATGTTTTCTATGTGCATTTTATAACAAAACTGGCTTTTATTTTCAAAATCAAATTCCCATAGTCTAAGTAGGATCTAAAGCAAATTTAATGTTGAATTAGGTTCTGTAGCTTTAATTATGGCCACTCTGTATACCGAAGTAAAAGAAAAACTAGTTTTGATGTTTCTCCATAGTGTATAATCTTCACATTTTAGTTTATTCATTAAAAAAAGTTAGTTTTACCTTTATAGATGGTGAGCTTGATGAACACTAAATTGGTATGAACTTTTTTTTTATCTGTTAAATAATCATTTTCAATTCCAAAATTTTTGCTCATGATAATTGTAAACTTAGTATTACGGGTTTAAAAAGAAGCAATGAAACCAGCAAGATAAACGAAATGTTTTTATGCGATTATTACTTTGGAGTTTTCTTTTTATCTATTTATTTGTTCTTCTTTTATACCGCTACAGCCCCTAGTGGATCTTTGGCTGCTGAACAATGTTATTCCATGCCTTGTTATTCTTTGCTTTGGATTTCCAGCTTTTCATTATGGTTAAATGCTTTGTAACATCAATTTATTACTTCGTTTTGTTGTTCTTCGGGATCTTGAGATTATTGATTTCCAATTTAAGATTCTTCTCAGCCCTTCGTTCATTCTTTCTGTATTATTCAGCTATAGCAAGTGTCTCAATTTAATAGTTTACATTTTCCACTTCACTAATGTTTATCATTCTCCAGTATGGATTGTTTCTTTTTTATTCCTCTTCTTCTTTTATTATTAGTATTTCTTTTAAATATTAAGTTGTCTTCAAGTTTCACTCAGTTTTTTAATCTAGGTTTTACTATCATACATTACTATGGGCCTTAATATCTGTCGTAATGAGTTTTTTCTTGAATAAGTATTGGTTGAGGCAATAGTTTTTATATCTGTTTTAGCATCTTTGAATTAATTTCGTACGAAATATTATGATCATTGATTATTGAGTGAAAGCAAGTGAAACAGGGAGCCCTTTAAAAATGATAGTTAGTTACCTTAAGCATAGATAACGGATTATTTCACAGAATTCGCTTTTTGTCACTATAAATGATATCAACTTCTCCTGCTGTCCTTATAAGCTTGCTTGTAAGCGAAGTTAATAACCGTCTAATAACTAAACTAAACTCAGCGGCGCGACAGCCCATAGAGGGCCAAGGCCTACTGTGCCCATCTCAGTTTTCTTGACCTTGGGCTCTGGGGTGCAGGAGCAGATGTTCCGGCCAGGAGGTCAGCCGAACGCGGTACCCCCAGTGTTTAGTTCCCAAGCATGCTTGGTACTCATTTATAGACCCACTGAAGGGATGAAAGGCTGAGTCAACCTTGCCCGGCCCGAGGATCGCACCAGGGACCTGTGGCATGGCAGCGCCAAGCGCTACCGCTCAGCCACCGGGAGTCAAGAACCGTCTACATTTACTTAAAATATCATAAATAAAAGTTGTAGAATTTTAAATAGAATTTCTTATATGAATAATGTATTCATACAAGCGACAAAATGAACAGCAAGAGTAATAATGCATTATTGCCTAACACCAGTACTGATATTAAATGCATCAGAAATCGCATTTTGTGAGAGGAACTTTAAATATTTTTAGTGTGTCGTAAATTCTTTTTTTTTTCTTTTTGCTTTCAACGGCGGCGCTAGGTAATGATGAACAAAAAAAAGTATTTTATATATTTTTACCGAGTCAGCTTTAAACAACGCAAAGTTTCTTCACAACGTGGAGGAAGCATACTAAATTGTATGTTGATTCCTATTACCTTTTATTCTTGTCTCACCGTTTTTTTATGCTAAGAATGCTATTCCATCACTATTTTATGTTTTTATTTTGAGAATCTCAAGCCCGTACTTTCAAACTACGAGATTTGAAATTACATTCTGTGACTTGTAGTTTATATATGGAGGAGATTGTTTTATAAAAAATATATACACATTATATATAAAACCAAAAAAATAAATTTAAGAAAATACATGTATTTTTTTTATTTATTTATTATTTTTTTTGTGGCATAAAAGCATTTTTCTCGGGAAGAAGTCAAATCTACACAATAATACTAGAGGAAACGCGAAAAATAAACAAATATTTTTTACATTTACGTACGTTTTTATACAAAAATACTCGTGCTTATCAAACTCGGAACACAAATTGGTATGGTAATTAAATTTAACACACAAAAATAAGTTTTGAAACAATAAAATAAAAAGAGCCTGCAACGAAGAAAAAAAACTCATGAAAGCTTTAAAATGTAACGTTCCCACAACTATTTTCTAAAAATACAACTGAAAGCTTTGCTTTTTTTTCTTCCTATTTGCTTGTAAAAAGGTGCATTTACAAGGAAATTGTTTTTTTCGTTCTATCCACAGATTTTACGATGGAATTACAAATGTAGGTAAATAGTCATATTTTATCATCCTAAAGGTTCTCACGTAATTTCCTTAAAATAGATTGAAAAGTCAAAAAAAGGAAGGGGAAAAACGTATTGATAGAGGGAGGTGAATTTTATTTGTTTCTTAATTATTGTCGCAGATTTCAGTCTAGAAATACAAGAAAGACTGATGTTTTATAGTTCTAAATACTCACATTTTAATTTAATGGAATAGAGAAATTTTTATTTAAAAAAAATTTTCGTTTCTAATGATTACTTTTTATAAAAATTTAAAACTTGAGGGATGGACGATGCGTGTTAATTTTTTTTCGAGAAATTAGAGATCTTTAAGAAATGAAATTATTTTTAAAAAAAATAATTTCTTAAAATATTATAGCAACTTTACTGAATAGTGAAAATAAGAAGGGATGATTTAGTTTCTGAATTTCCACTTTAATTTAACTAGTTGGTGCCTAAAACACACGATAAATCTATATAAAAAGTTTAAGGCATAAATAATGACTTCTAATTCTTTTTAAATTTCCTTTCCCAGCACACAAATAAAAAAAAGTAATTTAGATGTCCGACTCGGTGCTGCCATCTCTTTATGAATGCCTGAAATAAAATACATGTATTTAAGTTCAAGCATTTATGAACAGAGAGAAACACTAAAATTGTAAAAATATTGAGGGTGTTTAACTCTGAAAAAGAAATTTTAAATAGCATTAAATGCCATTATTTATGCATAATACATATTTATAAA